TGTCTTTAGTCAAGAAACAAGAACTGGGAGGAACATCACGGTTGTTTTTCCTTTGATCCTGCAAACTTATTGCGTTGTGAAACATGCCGTGTAAATTCAGCTTTGTAGTAAAACGGCTGTCCCGCAGATATGCCTTGTTAAAATTTCTCAAAAAAAAACGTGTTCTGTCTTTGAAAAACGCTGTTTATTCACAGTCTTCTAATATACTTGCCTAAAGAAATATCCTTTTTATTCTTAGTTAGCTCTGAAAACATGTTGAAATAAAGGTGGCTAATCAAACTTAGCCGCATTTTAAACCATAGCAGATGTGAAATAACTTTTTCTTCCATTTCTCTCCTCTTTGCGGTAGAAGATAAATGCTCTATTTCCCGTTCGATCGAGTCAGTTTTCAGTTTTCTTAAACACCCAGTGAAAAGAATGGCTTTGAAGTTTTTTTTAACTCCTCCAGAAACATTTCACTCTTGTGGCGAAGTTTCGTGATCTCTTAAGGAACTCCGCAACTAAAAACTCCTTTAGAAAACAAAGCTATGATAGTTTTAGTAAGTTCTCCACTTAAAGATTTCTTAAAAGAACTATTCTGCTTTTAAACTTTCGAGTTTTTCGTCTAAATTCTAAAAAGACAATTTAGCCGTATTCTGAAGAGTACTTTTCAGATAGTGATTGCTTTAAACGGATCGTCAAATACGAATTCTCTAATGGAACGTTTTCGAATATAATACATAAATCTATTTGTGATATAGACGGCATGAAAAGTTGGTTTTATCCTCTCAGTCCTGGCCTTTTACCAAGTTATCATATTTGCGATATTTCACTTCATAGGTGGTGTGTATTTCGTAGGATTATTCTTGCAATAGCGCGCCGAACGCCGTTTTTTTTTTTTTTACTTTTCGATAGATCTCATTGAAATACTATTAAAAATTATACGAATAGCTTGTCTTGTTCGTTCACATAGCAGAGGATGGGAGGCAATATGAAACACCATTTGGTGGACGATAAACCAGCTAGTGTCTCTACATGGATGTAGTCGATAGAATATACCTATCTGTGTACCACCTGTCCTGGTGAAAATTGCGTTAGGACCGGTTCTAATGAAAAACCATCATGAAAAACTCAGCGTTTATCGTAAGACTACTTTATAAAGCGTTATATTTCTTAAAGTGTTTGCCCAAAAGCGATAATTTTAAGGCTTCTCACCGGAAAAATATAACTGAAGAAGAAAACGAAAACTCCAGGAAGAAAGATCTCCTCTAGTTTTTTTTCCCAAGAGTTGTTTTCCACATAACTCGCTGAAAAATACTTAAATGTTTTAAATTGCGCATTATTTAAAACACGCTGAAATGATGTTTATCCAGAATTTGATTTCGAAACCCGACCAAAATTAAATTGAAAAACATATGGATTATACGAAACTTGTAAGGAGGTTTTTTTGATTCAAATTTACCTGATGTTTCCGACTTAGCAAGTTTTTACTTCCCCATCGTTGAAAATGCAAAGATGAAAGCATTCCCATTTCTTTAATAGTTTTCGCGTTATTTTTCAGGGAAGATTTTTTTTTCGCATAATCACTAATGAATAAAATGTTAGGTTTTTTGTGAACTTATTTAAAAAGCTTCCTCAGAGTATCTCTTTGATATAAAAATATATTCAGAGTGCATAGTTACCTGCTCTTTGAGAAAATCGCATTCTGCATGGTTCGTTCAAGTTCTTGATCAATTCTGAATGTTGGAGACCCATTTCTAAATGAAATAAATAATTGCAGGAGACAAAGTCCAGCTTTTAGATTTTTTTTTTAAGTCCCCAGGCATTTCGGTATATCGATTTTTACTAATTCGCGGACAGGAGAAGCGTTTTCTATATTTTTACTCATGAATAATTTAGTCAAACTAAAATTACTTTCTGCTTCGTTACGAGTTTCTTTCAATAAAATAGTGAAACATTTTAATCGATCTTTCCTTAATTGCAGCTGTTTAGAATCCGTCAGAGGATACCGAAAAATTGGTCTGGATAGGTACAAATCTAATTTGTGGTATTTGTAGGGAGGAAAACGTCGTAGATGCATATTTACCCATTTTTTTTATTGTTAAAAATTTTGTCAGGCGGCTGAAAAAAAATTGACACAAAAAATATGATAATTTTCCCAGAGTTACATTTTAGCTTGACTTAAAATTAGGAAAGCTTTCAATTAGGTAATTTCTACTGAAAAAAAGAGGAAAAAAAATGAACCTTAGAGAGCAACATCACTTATCCGACCATGTTTGTAAAATATATAATTTCACATGCGACTGCCGCGCTTCAGTATTTACGCATGTGCAGTACAACTTATTGGTCCAAATTCAATATTTCGTAAAGTGGACTATTTTCGGTGGGGAACGGAAAATTTATACATTGCTTATTTTCACGTGGATTGCCGCGGGATAAACGTGTAAGTTTAATTTAAATCTAATATAGAAGCTGAAATGTCAAACTCCTTTTTTTGACTAGGATTTCTTTCTCGGTTGGAATATGTCTTTCTAAAAGAAAATGATTCTTTTCTCTTGGTCTTTCATATTGCCCAGAGTTTGAAGAAAAATTTTTTGTATTCTAGGATTGGTTTTCAAGTGGCATAACAGTCGTCAGAGCTTATCCCATTCTCTGTGGCTAGCGTAAAATTCTTAGGGTCAAGAAACATTATTTACTTATACTGGAGGGGTGAGGGCTGGACGAAAAAACTTTCAGCTTGACGAGCCTGTACGTTATGAGCAAAAGCAAAGTATTTTCCTGCCTAGCCCAGCCTTACTCAAGCCTACTCAGTCATTGAATCTTTTATCATATAAAAACAGTTGTTTCTCTCTCTCTCTCTTCTGTACGCCTTTTTCTGACCTTACCCGCGCGAACGTCGCAACGGCCTCCATACATGGTATGGATTTTTTTTCAATACCCGTTTCACAATGAAACCGTGCGCGGGGCCGCACGGGTCATGTGACAACACTGCATACTCTTACTGATACTGCGTACTCTTGCTGATACTGCCTCTTTTTCTTGAAAATTTCTGACAGTAACCTGTCCTGAAAATTTAACCTTTCATTGGTTGCCGTGTTTGCATTGAAGATCGTGATGTTCATGGTTTGAAATTCATACGGTGTAGATATTAGGAAATGAATAAAGAGCGGGCTGGTTTTGGAGTTTAGACCAGCTCCATTCAGGGGCGTTGGTAAGATTGTAGAAAGGGGGGGGGGGGGG